TCTCTCTCTGTCAAATAAATAAAATCTTTAAAAAAAAAAAAGTCTTGAACAGATAATTTGCACACCTATGTTCACAGCAGCATTATTCACAATAGCCAAAAGCTGGAGTAATCCAAGTGTCCACGGATGGATGAATCAATAACCAAAATGTGGAATATACATACAATGGAATATTATTCGCCCTTGAAAAGTAAATCCTGACACATGCTATAACATGGGTGAACCTTGAAAACATTATGCGAAGTGAAATAAGCCAGATACAAAAGAGCAAATACTGTATGATTGTATGAAGTATTCTAGAAGGGTAGAAATCATAGAGATGGAAAGCGGAATAGTGATTACCTGGGGCAGGGGGAGAGAGGCAATGAGCAACTGTTCAATGGGGATAGTTTCAGTTAGGGAAGATGAAAAAGGTCTGGAGATGCAAAGTGGTTAATTGTTGCACAACAGGATGGATGTACTTAAGACTACTGAATTGTACACTTAAAAATGATTAAAATGATGCTTTAAAGGGTTAAAGAAAACGAGTAAGTCTGGAAGAATCCAGGGAGTACCCAGCTGTGGAGAGAGTGGGGAAGGGGTGTGTCAGATCTCTGTTCCTCACCCCCACCCCAGCCACTGTCCACCCTTCCCTGTCCTGCTCTACGCCCTGGCTCACATCGGCATGCCTCTCGCCTTCTGGCTTCTGCTTGGAGTCATTCAATGGGGAACACAAGCAGGAGATGAGGGCAGAGAGAGGAGTGAGGTCACAGAATCTATCTTCCCGGTCTCCTCCCTGCAGGATTGCTGCCCGGCGACCGTGTCCCTTGTCTGAAAGTCTAGCAGCCCCTCTCAGTCTCAGGATTCTGGTGCTGTTGCCTCTTCAGACCAAGCACAGTAGCAGTTGCCATGGCCCCTGGCCCCAGGGAACCACACTATCCCTTTTGGTCTTCCCACTTCCTACTAACACCTCTGTCAATAGTCTTTTTATTAAATTCTCCACAAATTACCCATTTTGAGCACATCATCTGTTTCTGGCTGGACTATGTCTGATGTGAGGTAACTTACAACAAAGTTGGGGAAACACTGATGCAAAGAAGATCCACTTCTATCCCCAAAAGATCTCTCGGATCCTCAAAACCTTCCAGATATCCAGAGGAGGCAATGGTAAGCGGTCTTCCATCTTCCTCCCTGCCCTCCATCCCCTCTCTTGTTCCAAGAACTTCGTTTCAATTGCTATTTTAGTACAGAGAATTCAGCATCCATTGTTTTCTCCAATCTATAGACAATCACATTTTTGTACATAACAGAATTCCATTCCAATAAAACAAATCATTCAGATATTCCATGGTGTTTTATTATTTTTTTTTTAAAAGCATTTTTCCTGTGAATGTTTCTATTGAATCCTAGATACAGATATTCAAGGATATGGGGCAATTGCAGTTAAATATGAATAGTAAAGCTGAAATGGCATTTTTGTAAGGCGGTACAAATTGGTAATAGAGACAAAGCTCCATTAGATGAGTTATCTCTCCCCTCTAAAGTGGATAACTATGAGGGAAATAATCAAGAGTTTTGCCTTCCTTCTAGTAGTAATGGCCTAGAATAAGTTGAACATAGCTACCCAACCTCCTCTGAAGTCCAGGGAGATGTATCCTGTCCAGGCTTATACTATTACACACGTTATTTTCAGGTCAAAAGAAACAGTCACACTTGCTTGTAAGGTCAATGGCTCAGGTAAGCAGACCATCTCTTTGCTGCAAAAGAAGAGCAACAAGAAGGTATACGCTCAGGGCAGGTTCCTGATTGGTCAGGAGAGAGGGCTAGGAGTCATGTGCTCTTGTGGTTCCATGGTGTCAGGTGGAAGAAGTCTACAATCGTCCATTAGAGGAGTCTACTACTCCTGCCCTCCACGTGCCCAGAGGGGTAAGAGTAGTATAAATCCCTGCTAGAGGCACAGGTGGATCCACACCTGTGAATGTGACCAGGCTGTGCAATTAGAAAGCTTTACTCCAATAAAATCATACGTAGAAACTAAATAAGACATATATAAAACAGATTGTATATTTATATATAAAATTATCCAGCTGTATATCAGATAAAATGAAGTTTCTTATATTGAAGTGGGAATGGGAAATTGAAAGTGGTAATCGTTGTACAACAGGATGGATGTACTTAAGACTACTAAATTATACACTTGAAAATAATTTAAATGATTTTTTTAAAGAGTTAAAGAAAACAATTAAGTCTGGAAGAATCCAGGGAGTACCTGGCTGTGGAGAAAGTGGTGGAGGTGTGTGCCAGATCTCTCTGTTCCTCACCCACACCCCAGCTATTCTCCACCCTCTTTGGCTTTCTAACACCTCCAACCCAAGATGGCACCAGAGGAAATTCAAGAAAACCCTGGGTCTTTGTCATCTCTTCATTGAGGAAGCTCACCACTGTGATGAGATTGCACCTCAGCAAATGTCACATCTAAGGTCAGGATTGGTCCTTGTGGGTGTATCGGGGTCGGGTGGAGTGGGGTGGAGTAGGGTGGATTTTGGGCTTACTTGTCATTGACCGGCAAAGGAGCAGTACAGAACTTCCCAACAATGGTGGTCCGGTCTTTTCTCCAAACTCGGTGGGAAGAGTGAAACTTCAGTTTCACTTGGTTTATCTGGCACTGAGGGGTGGCGTGAGCTATGACTCCTTTCCCCTGGAGTTCCTGTCTAGGTCTGCAAGGGAAAGGGAAATTAATTTACCCAAGCACATTTGGCCTTTGCTTCCCCCTTGGTTCCTATAGGGCGCTGCTGTAGTGTGGGTTAGCTGTCATGCACAAAAGAACTCCTTGAAGGTGGGGACTACGATCCTTTGTATCACACTCACCAGCCCCTCTGTGCACATACTCACAGCTTTAAACATGGGTTCAGAAAATAGTTGTTGATTTTTGAAAGCAAACAAGTGGACATGGCAGCAAAATAGTAGCTCTTAGATTTTCATATCTGGGAAAAATGTCTGTGTTTCTTAGATTCCTAATTGGAGAAAATCTTCACTTTCAGGTCTACCTACTGGAAGTACAGCCCTCTTTTAGGGCATTCAGTTCCATAAATTTTGTGTAGACTACTGTATTTTAGACTGAGTATGAATGTGTGGATGGGGAAAAAACAAACAAAAAACGGATCTTGAAACCAGACAGAGCTGGTGTGGTACCCAGGTTTCCTCTCTTCCCAACTGTGTGGCTTTGGAGTCACACGCCCTAGGTCTAATCTCCAGCTCTCCCACGTGCTAGCCCCTCTCCGGGCTCAGAAGCAGTGGGGCCTGGAGAAAAAGGAGGAGAGCAGGGGGACAGGGCTTTCGCCTTTGCACATGGGCGTTGGGTATCATTGAAGAGGGGCCGCATGGCTCAACCACATGGTTTCCCTTTCCTTTCTGGCCTCTGTGGGGTGATAAAAATGTCTTCTTTGCGTACTTTTTAACAACCCAAGGTTAGTCATATAGTTTGTTTTTTTCTTTTGAGGAAGATTCTATATGACTTTAGAAGCTGTTCCTGGTTTATTTTTGTTTTTTAATTTTAGAAGTGTTTTGAAATATATCAGAGGGGGGAAAAAAAAAGATTTTTCCTTTTAAGAAGCTGAATGGATAGGAGAGCTTGCAAACTAGCAGGGTATGAAGGATGCTGTGAGTGACCTTGAAGAGGAAAATTACCCAGAGCAGGCCCAGGCCCACAGGCCCCAGTAGATAGAAAGTTACTAGCTCTGTTGGTAGAGCAAGAGATAACCAGCCATTTCTGCCTCTGTCAACAGGCTTCCCGCCACAGCCTTCCTACACTGCTGTTCCCGCCTAAAGCAGCCCCCACCCCCCCAGTTTAAACCCACCTACCAGCAGCCAGCACAGCCCTTGGAACCTGACCCCCTGCACTCCCTATAAAACACTCTATAACGCCACTGCCCCGGGCCCCTAATTTTGAGTGCAAACTCATCTGGGTCCGTACGCGTAAAATAAACCTGAGTTCTCCTACTTCCCTGAGCATCACTTGGTTTCTCACCTGTCTGATTTTTATTTTTCCGCAACAACCTAAGGACTTGGTTTGGGTAAATTTTCTAATTAGAAGGAAATCTTGGGGTTTTGCAAAGCTATAGAAAGTAAGGAAAGACCACACATAAACCCCCCTCCTTTTTTTCAATTTCTATTCTGCAAAAAGGAAAAAAAAAAAACAAAAACGAAGGAATTGAAGATAACCATGTTCTGAATCTTCCACAAAAGATTAAAACGCAAACAGCTTTTGGGAGAAGAAAGAAAGAATCTGTGGGTATCCATTCCAATCACCCAGGGAGCTTTTAAAGGTGTAGTGGTTGAGGCTATGCCCAGAGACTCTGCTGTAATTGGCCTGGGAGGGGGGGGGGGTTGGGAGGGGCGGTCAGTGGTGGTTAACGCTCTCCAGGTGATTCTAATCAGCAGCTAGCTGTGTGTCATTATCTTGACTCCAGCCAGTGTTGGCTCATCTACCAAAACACAGAGAGGTGATGAAGACACCTGATGGAAATAACACAACCTCGAACTGATCTAATGAAAATTATTCAGCTATAATCTGCAAGACTCACGTGGGCACCTGAAGATCTGTGTTGGGATCCTGACTGCCTGCCATCCCTCTCTCTGTGGCCTGTGTCAGCTGGAGCCCTGGTTGGTGGCAGGGTGTTTGGGAGTCCAGAAGTGTGCTTCTCTCAGCAGAAATTTGTCTTCCCTGACAGTACGATTAATGTCTAATGCTGCAGCCTCCAGAGGGCCTTTAGGGTTGGTCTTTTATAGAAAGCTAACCAGGGAACTTAAATCCTTTTAACATCTCTATTGATAACACCTTCAATGGCTTACTTCCTTTTTAGGGGCTGGTTATTCTTTTTTGGTCACAGATGATTATCATAAAGACACCCACCCCGAAAGCCTAGGGCAGGGTGGTGCCCCATTACCAGTTGTTTTTTAAAGAGACAAGCACCCTGCTGCTGAGTTCCTCTCCCTTGCCAGGCTTGAGCCTCCCTACAGTTGAAGTTCTCTGTCTTCCCACCTCAAGCCTGGTCCTGCCAGCTGCTAGGCCCAAATGTAACCCCACAAGGGAAGGAAATGCTCAGCCTGGTTCTAGGGATTAGCACCAGATGGCCTCAAGCCGTGCTGGCCTCACCTTGTACTCATTTGCTAACTGCCCCCCTGCCTGTGATTCAGTTCTAGTCACTCACCCAGTACCACCTCCACTTTCCAGGAGTGGGTGCTCCCCAGGCTCTGGTCAGCCCTCCCTGGGCTAGTGGCTGATATCCTCCTACTGGCTGACATCCCTGATGCCCCTTCCTGGATTCCTGATCAATGTTTCCTTTCAGGGACCCAATTCTCATGTTCTCACCACCCGTTGAGACATCCCATTACTTCTGCTCGCCCTCCTCCTCTGCTATTGCCTAAAATACACTCTCCTTGGATCCACTGCTGATCGTGAACCTGGGACAGTTGCCCAGCATGTGTCTGTGGGTGCATCCGTCGGAGGTGCTGCCCTCACCCCCACCTCCAGCCCAGTGGGCTTGGGCCACCTCTCAGTGAGCACACAGTGCCTACCGTGGGAGATGTGTGTGCGTGTGATGCGGGACACTTACGTACATGGTGATCTTGACCAAGGAAGTAACATTGCTGCTAAGGAAGGTGACGGAGATGAGGGTGTCTTTGTTTCTTGGCTCCTGCAAGTAAAACTCCACGAGGCTGTGATGCACTGGGAAACCAAAGCAGAGCAGACACCTGGGCCAGAGGTCAGCGGTGCAAAATGCACCCAAAGCCCCAGAGGGCCGCAGGGCAGGAGTCTGAGACCTGCCGCTTAGCAGCAGATCACCTGCCATCCCAGATCCTTAGCTTCCTCATTGTAAATTGGGGGTAATAAAAATAGGTCTGAATGAGAGTTAAATGAGTTAATACCTACAAAGTCCTTAGACAGTGCCTGTGGCTAGGAAGCATTCAATACATGTTAGTTTTTGTTACTACTTGTAATGCTAGAATGTCCCACTCCCCCCTGCTTGATGACATTCTCTTGGTGGTGTGATTTTGGAAGAACTGAAAAGGATGTCCCATATACTAAATAAGTAACTCATAAAATGTAGCAATCCCCCTCTGCTCCTCCCCATACACACAGTTTCAGCAAGCCCACTTGTGTGTAGGAGATGACTATTTCCCTGTCTGTGCAGCCTCTATGACAGCTCCACCCTCCCAGGCAGCACAAATCCTGGGGCTTTCAAAGCTGGTGTCATTGACACAGCCTGGACGAGGAGCCCAGCTCGCGGTGATACCCCCGGGACCGGCTATCTCTCTGGCAAGAGAGGTTAAGAAGAATTACAGCTTCTTTAACATCTGTCCTTTCCTTATTAAGGGGGAGGCCCAGCTGGCCGCACTGTGCAGTATCTTCGGTCTTGGGGCATTTTCACAGACCTCTCTGGTGATCCGGACACAGCTGGAGAGGCAATCCCTCACCTCTGCCCTACTTGTACTTTTTCATTTGTCATGTTTAACAGGCAGTTACTGGAGGGACATCAAGTGGATTTAGGTAGACTTGGCACTAAGCTGGAGGAGTGCTGTGATCCATCTGGGCTCATGGGGCTGGTAACAAGACTCATTGACAGGTGCTAAGAAGCCAGGAACCCACAGGAAAGAAAGAAAGCACCGTATGTTTCTCCTCCGCAGAGGAAAACATCCAGTGCCATGCCCCTTCTGTCTCTCTCTCAGTTGTTTGCTAGGGGATGCAGATTGTTATGGTGATGGGCAAGGGCTGAACTGGAGTGGGTAACTGCAATGTGGAATAAAAGTTAAACTATGTAAGCTTTAGGAATTTCATTCTCTAGGCTGAGTTTGATATATTACACCACTCCTTCCTTTATCAGCAGGTCTCACCTCATCAAGAAAGTTTCCTAAGGTTCTGCTTCTCTCTTTACAGTATCTGGAAGCCCGGGGAGGGTCGGGTCTACTAATGTTGGGTGGGTGGGAACCAATCTGTGCAGGAGTGAGACCTGGGAAGCAGCACACAGAGCCCTGGAAGGGAAGAGATCCAGGAGACTCGAATCCAAGGCCCAGCCCTGCTTCCTCACTCTGTCCCTTGCCCTAAGTTACCGAACCTCTCTATGTCCTGGTTCCTTCATCTGTAAACAGTAACACTTGACATTACCTCACAGAACATGGCAAGGATGAAATGAGGTAATGGGGAGAAAGCGCTTCATGGGAAACGTCCTACAAGGGGAAAGTAATATTGTTAGAAAAATTGTTATTTGGAGAGGGCTTCTCTGCCCAGCAGGTGCATGCCTGGCAGGAGTCAAGGGTGACCACTGAACACTGCTGTGGCCCCGACAGGCCAAGCGAGCCAGGCAAGGGGAGCCCAGCGCCGTGGTGGCATGGGGGGTGGGTGAGAGGGGGGCAGCTACGGGCTGCTCGTGCCCCCTGAACTGCCAGGTGGACGGCCCGCCCCTCCAGGTAGAGGAGGGTCCCAGCTGCAATGCTGAGAACAAAAAGCTCAGAACTGCAAGGCTCAGAGCACGCACGCAAGCAGGTATCCATGCTGGCTTGTTTCCTTCTGTGCCTCTCTGAGGTTGGTGAACAGACAGGGTCATGCTTCGGGCCACAGAGAGGGTGTCTCACCACAAATAGGAAACAGTCACAAAAATGGTGGCTCCACGGATCTGCCTCCGCAGGGACCTTAAAAGGCCTCTAACCTCAAGTGTGCCCCAGGCTCTGGTCCTGGCCTCACCGCCTCTGCCACTGGACAAAGCATCCTCCCTCAAGCTGACCTCTGGAGGGGGCGGTGAGGACAGAGGAGTAACCAAGAAACACGGCCGTAAAGAGCAGATTCGCTCTCAGAAGCGGAGGCAAAGAGGCCAGAGTGGAAGTGGGTGGTGGCATGGAGAGAGAACAGATCTGGGAGTCAGAAGACCTGGAGTTGAATGCTGCCTTTTCCACCTCACTGTGTAGCCTCGGGCACAAGGCTTCATCTCTCAGAGCCTCCCCGTCCTCACACCTAACTCAGAGTTGGGTTGTCAAATGAGTGGATATATGTGAGAAGCCCACAGTTGACTCTTGTAACCCACTTGTTCCTAAGAGGTAGCCAGGAATTCTCTCTAGCATGATAAACACCCGCATCCAGTCTCCTCCAATTCTCTGGCTGATAAAGGGAAAGGAATTCTATTACTTATCAAGTTCTGGTCACTGTGCTAGCAACTTCCTGTATACTATTTTATTCTATCCTCGCAGTTCATTCTTTGAAGTAGGTACTGTTATTGCTCCCATTTTCTACATACGGATGTAGAGGTTCAGAAAGGTTAAGTCAGATTCTCCTGATCACACATCTGGGAAGTGCAGAAGCTGAGATTCAAATCCACGTTTATGTGACCACAATCTGAGCTTTGGGCTCCATATCACACGGCACCAGGAGTTCTAGTTCAAGGAAGGAAGGGTCACTAAGATCCCTCCACCAACCAGACATAAGCTGATCTGAAAATCAGTTAGAATTAGCATGGCCATATAATTTATCATCCTAACCAGCATACTTTTGTCCTGTACCCACAATAAACCAGATGAGATCCCAGGATAACAAGCATAAAAAAGGAAGTATAGTCCATCTACTTAAGATGCAAATAGCACAGGAAAAGATGATGCTCCAACCTGGGACGGATTTCATAGATTCTAAGACATACTTTCCTCTCACATTTAACATCTTTTACTAGCATCTTCGCTTCAGTGAAATGCCTTGGTTAGAAGCAACAGTGAAGAATTGAAATATGTATGTGTAGGGGAAGGAGGGCAGAGGGCAAGGTTCAATATTCTTCAGAGACCCTGACCTAAGAGGGCTGCCAGGGTGGGAGACGCATAAGATGAGCATCAAGGAGGGGGTAAAAAAGTATGCAGGAAGGAGGGAGCCAGAGGGCCCTCCCAAATACCACACTACAGAGAACCCACACTGGAGGGAGGTGGGGAGGGACTAGGAGAAGTATATAGACAGTAAGATGTCCCTAAGTCCTCATCTGCAGCAGAGCAATGGGTTGGACTAGCTCCGAAAGTTCAGGATCTAAGACCAGTAGCTGCTGCCCCCCACCCCCCTCCGATGACATCTTTGCCCCAGTCTTTCACCTCCCGCCTCAGCCACCATGCTGTGCTAGACACAGCCCAAGCCAGAGCCCTGGACTCTGCGGGACAGCACACTAGCAGAGCTGAGCTACACGTCTTTCCCCCAACTCACCACAGTACGGAGCCCGGGCAGTGGTCAAGAGGAAGACTTTCACTTCCTTAGGAAGCGGCTCTATCTTGACACCACTTTGTTCCATCAGCCCTGGAAGCAGAGAGGCAAAGACAAAGACAGCAGAGCCCTGAGGATGCCAATGCAGTGTCCCATGGCACCCAACCACGTTTTGATTCATTCATGCACTCGTTCATTCTACAAACACCCACACTGTATGCCCATTCTACGCCATGCCCTATGGTGAGTCCCAGGGTACCTGCAACCCAGTCCAGCCAAGGATAAACACAGAAGTAAACAGGAAGTACATTCTTCAAATCATCTGGCCCATTCCAAGAGGTATTTATCAGAAATTTGAAATTATGTCTCCAATTGGCAAAATAATCTATAAGAGAGTTGTGTGGATGGCATTTATACCCTGTGCAGACAAAGCACAGGGAAGCGTTTGACCTGAAGAATAGCAGTTGACAAGTCAGGGAAGGGCACTCCAAGCAGCGAGTACAGTTCAGACAGAGACACACAGGGTGAAGAAACGAAATATTCTTGGAAGTACAAGTAGTTAGCATCCCTGGGGTGTTCAGAGCCAGGGAAAGTGTGGCGAGAGGTGACACTGGCAGATAGTGTGAGGTGGCTGTTTATATCAGCAGGTCCATCACACCTGGGGGACATGGTGGCATATGCCTACCGAGTCGGAAGTAATGTTGATTTGCTTTATTGTGGGAAGCTACATCTACTTGAACATTTTGTCAAGCTGGTATCCGTTTCATAAGGAATGCCAGGCTGCCACAGTTCTGAGTGGCAGCCGGGGGTGAGAGTGAGAAAATGAGGGAGGGGAAGGAACCATTTATATTTCCCAGAGTTCTTCCTGAAATCCGTCATCTTGGAGAACCCTAGGATGTTCTCAGCAATGACCTGCAGAGGGTAAGTTGAGGCCAGATCCCTCAGCCTTTCCCCAGTCCTTCTCCCCAGACTGGCCTGGAACATCCAGGAATGTGCCCAACCCAACTAGTAATGAGGCAGGCCTCCAGTTGGCACATGGCCACCACAGCCTCACACCTCTGAAGTGGGCCATGGGTGCCATTCTTGGGGATTCCCACACAACACCCTGATTTAGAGTCTATCAGGAGTTGGAGAATGGCTGGCCTAGCTAGAAAGACCTAGGGCAAGCATCTGGTCTTACAGTGGGGGCAGAGGCTCTGGGCTATACCAATGTTTCTAAAGCGTCCCGAGTCTGGACTTGCAGATGAGGGGCTGTGTGTGAAGGGTGTGTGCAGAGCAAGTATGGCATCAGGCTGCAGGACAGAGGGTGAGGGGTGGGACGTGGAAGGCCAAATGCCTTCTTCCAGGTGGGAACAGGCTGAACACCTAATCAGTGAATTTCCTTACTCCGGGTGGATAGACTTGTTGATCATAAGAAATCAGGACTTACAGAGGTAACAACTAGCAAGACTTGAACTTTCCCCAAATTGTCAAAGGAAGCCAAAGGGGTGGCATTTACCAATTCTTGGGCAGGAAAGCAGAAAAGGGTTAAAACAATCCAGACATTGTCCAGCAAGAAAGGCCTTGTAGTTGACACAGGGAAAGGCCACGAGTGGACAGGAATTCTCCAGGGCACTGATGTAGAGGTGCACAGCCCTCATGTGATCACAGATCAGGTAACTGTAGCCTGTGGGGGTGAGGGTGGGGGGGCGGGAAACACAACCAAGGCTTTAGTTTAAGACAAATGAAAATCCCTTCATGCTACTTATTGTAATTCTATTGAATTTTATATTCTAGCAGGCTATAAATACATGGGATGTCTCCTGAGCCACATTTTAAAATGTTAATGGACATGGCTACTGTATTCTCCCTCTTCTTTTGAATTTTCCTGAGATACCTAAGCTTAATCTATCAAAAAAATTGTTTAATTTGAGACCTATCTTCCATGATCATGCAAATTCTCTTTTGGAAAATAGGAGCTTACTGGGAATTGGTGATCCTGACCCACTTCTCACAATGAGTATCTGTTCGCACATTTTACCTTCTTCATCATCACCTACACAATCCAATTTTTTACAACCTCATGATACCCAACCTACTGATGAGATAATCAAGGGAGTCAGCAGCAGTTCATGGTAAGTCTCTGAAAGTCAATGTGCTTCGAGTTCACCTGGCCAAATGACTGATTCACTGAATTTGCCAAATGTCCCAATTTAATAAAAACCTGGTTTTCTTGTTATTGTTTACTGTATAAAAATTTGAAGTAACTCACATTGGATGAATTGGCTGGGCTAATAGGTCTATAGTGAGCCACAGCTCTAGGGTTCTGGGGTCTTCAGATTCTCCCATCACCTTGGGAACCCCACTCTGGGACCAGCAACCAAGTCCGAGCTTGTATTAACCCGCCTTCCCCCATGTTTGGGACACTCTATGGGCAAGCTCCTTCCAGCTGCAACAGGGAGCTGGGGGACACAAACAAAACCCTTCTCAAATTGTGTTATGAAGAAAAATGACAAGTGGCCAACTAAAATGCCACAGAAATATTCAAAGGTCATTAAATCCAAACTATCTCATCTGATAAAAAATCCTAGAAAATCTATAAATTGTGAAAAAGAAACATGTTTTTGGAAAATCAATAAATTTGGTAAATTAGATGAGTGGTTATTCAATAAAATTGTCAAAAGAGCCCTTAAAATGTCAAAAATTTGGTAAAGCAGGAAAAGACTAAAAACAAAGTAAACAGAAATCAGGATAAAATTCTCATAAGAAATGCTGATAGGTTGGCTATATTCATAAGAAAAATAAAAAAAGACTAAACAAACCTTGATCCTTAGCTTTTGACAAATTTAATGTTATTTAAAATAATGCTAAGAAGAATGTAATTCAAAAAGAACATTCCAGGAGACTACAACTCACCCTTGAACAACAGGGGAACCTCCCATGCAATTGAAAATCCATATATAACTTTTCACTCCCCCAAAACTTAATTATTAATAGCCTACTGTTGACAGGAAGCCTTACTGATAACATAAACTGTTGATTAACACATATTTTGTATGTTATATGTATTCTATACTGTATTCTTACAGTAAAGTAAGCTGGATAAAAGAAAATGTTAAAAATCATAAAGAGAAAATATATTTATAGTGCTCTACTGTATTTATCCAAAAAATCCATGTATAAGTGGACCTGTGCAGTTCAAACTCATGCTGTTCAAGCATCAATTGTGTATTTAGAAAAGAAGAAATGTATATTCGTTGAATGTACTCAAGATGATTATCTTGAAACAGTTTTGGAGAACTGCCAAATTTAATAAGTGTGGGGAAATGGTCATCTGTGGATTGATCCTTCAGCTAGCCAGCTTTGGGCGTTCTACTTCTGCCACAACTAGGCTCTTGCCAGGATGTAGCTAGTGTGGACCATGCCACAGAGCGGGACCCAGGAAGAATAGAGTTTATTGGCTTGAGTGATGATATATCACTGCAGGACCTAAGAAGTGGGGAGGCCAGCAAAAGTATGGTGCAAGCTTTTCATTTTGGGCCCTCCTCTCCCAAAATTCCCCAGGCTCCTAAAGACATGCATTCAATAAGTGCAGGAAAGGCATTATGGGGAAGAGCAAAGGACACTAGAAGAAAGACTTCCTGTGGTCTACACTGGCTGTTGGTGAATTCCAGCCTCTGGGGCAGCCAAACCCCAACTCTCTCTGGTTTTCTGACCTGCATGAATGAAGGTGGGACAGCCGGGTTGGTCTTGGCCTCCATTGACAAAGTAGTCCACGTGTCCAACAGGAATCCGGATACCCAAATCTGAAAGGAGGCAGAACCCCATTGTTTCGGACTGCAGGGGCATATTTTCTGGGCCCCACAGCAGGGTCCCCCGGCAGCAGAGCCTGAACTCTGACTTTGGGAGCCCACCCACTCTGTGTGCCCATTGGGTGCCCACCTCACTCCTCAATGCTGGGACACAGCAGAGCATGCCCTCCGTTTTCTACACTGAAAGGCAGCCAAGAAGAGTAAAGCCATGAACAGATACTCATATTTGTCTAATAAAATCAAGAAAAATACCCCTTAACATCAATCAGTTCTGATAAATCACTAAATCTTATAAGCCTGGTAAATGTCCTTGTTGAACAAGTGTTTATTTTGTTTGGAGCTATAGTTCAGGTAGATATATATTTGGGGCCACATTTCCACAGTGCCCCTCATATTTTTGTGCTGTCTTGACGGAGCAGAAACCTGGCTAGTTTGAAAGACTGTAGCGTGAGGGCACCTGGATGGCTCAGCCGTTAAGCGTCTGCCTTCAGCTCAGGTCATGGTCCCAGGGTCCTGGGATCGAGCCCCGCATCGGGCTCCCTGCTCTGCGGGAGGCCTGCTT